TCTTTCCCTCCACTGTAAAGTAAATTTCACTTAGAATTCAACTAATTTATTTATTTATTTATTTACTTTGCACAGATGAAGAATACCTTGCCTCATTTATAATTTACAATTTGGGGCATTGTGGGAAATTCTTTTCCAAGAGATACAGAGTGAGGGGGAGGGAGGGGGAGCACATCAAGTAAATTTAAGGCTGGCTTAGTAAATCCAGGTCAGGTGATCACCAAGGGAATAGCTTTGAAACCAAATCAAGGAACTGGTTTTGATGTGAGTGGATCAAAAGAGTGAAAAGAGGTGAATGTGATTTACCCACTTGAGTTCGATTATCTCAGTGTGTACAGTGTATATCACAAATACAATACAAATAATGGATAGTAGTAATAATCATCGTTAGCAGATGGGAGATCTTGATATGTTTACTAGGGTTATAATGAATGCTTATTGAGGCAAGAGCTTTAGATCTATATGTTCTGCCTGGTCAGTTAGTTAGCAGGTCTGCCTCTGTACATCACATTCTCACACCATTGTTGTGCTGGGAATTGCAGTTCAATATGGTTAAAATTAATGATTCCCTGCATCTCAACTGTCTAGCCAAGGGGGACTTCTTCCTTTCAATAATTATCATCAGGGAGCACATGAAAGCTGTCTTGAGGGTATGCTGGTGACAGGAGACCCCACTTGCTAAATTTTGCAGGCAATAGGGCAGAGGCAGATACCCAGCAGCGCTAGCCCTGCCCTGGAGAGCAGGTGATCTTCCAGGTGGCCGGCATGGACTCACACCCCAAAACAGCTGCTCTGGCAGCCTCCCTGATGAAATCCCTCTGCAGGAAAGAGAGGCAGAGAAAGCACACAGGTGAAGTAAACGAGAAAGCATTTACAAGAGAGAGATTCAAAGGCTAGTTTGGACCCTCGTGCCCCAAAGCTATTTATTGCCGTCCTTACTTATTTTAGGGTGGTGCCTAGTAACCTTAAACAGCAACCTGGGCCTGCTGTGACAGGTGCTGGACAGAGGTTATACACAAACACAGCCCTTGCCCCAGGGAGCTCATCACAGCCTGAATGAAAATACAGCAAAATAAGAGGGGGAAACTGTGAGGTGAAGAAATGAAGACAGTTGGGCAAAGTCATCCTTTGGTGCTCAGCCACCTTTTTCTGTTCACTTGTGTAACTGCTGCCTGCAGAGGTAGCCATAAGGGAAAGAATAATTAGCCTTTAGATTGCTTCAGACACCTTTTTTTTTGTTTGTTTCTCCCATCAGCGAGTACTTGTGATGTTGTGATCCAATCAAGCGAGTACCTGAGTGAGCTGCTGGACCAAGCTTCCTTTCATTTCTTTGTCACGGCGCGAATCAATGAAACTGGAAAGATTCTGGCTGTGCAGAAAGCTGCGGTACTGGAAATTCCCACGCTGCATATCAAGGTATTTTGGGGACGTGGCAGAGGGCGGCCATACTGTGTGCAGACTGGTGTCTGTAAGGATGCCACATTGACTTCTGGGACAGATGTGTACGTGCAGGTGTGTGTTAGACCTTCAGTCTAACATGGAACTTATAAGCAGTGGCCAACAGGAGTGAGTGAGGGTGTATGTTGTATATTGTACTGAGTATCCCTACATTAAAAGACTGAGGCTGACAGTATCACCTGTAGCAGGGAGCTAAATGATGTCCGTGGAGAAGGAGGGGAAAAGATCTGAGGAAGCTGGAGAAACTTACAGGGTAAAAGAAATTATGTCACTCAACCCTTTGACTACTTCAAAAATCTATTATATTTAAAGCAAGACAGTGCAGAGACTTCTCACTGAAAAATGAAGGGCCCTACTGTTAGGGTGAATTTGCTTGGAAAGCTTTTACAGGTTTTGTGAAAAGCTCCTCCAAACTTGGACAGGCAACATCCGTCTGGGACGATGCTTTCAGGATACTGCTTTGCTGCTGCTCTGTGAATGTACTTTCAGTGGAGTTTCATGAAGGTTCAAGCATTTCTGCAGGTGGTGGCATCCTGTCTATGAAAATGTGAAAGTGTAGTGACTCTGACAGGACAAGGACCCTATGTCGTATAGCAAAGATTTTAAAAATTCAGGGCTGAGACTTTGGTATCCAGATAAAATGCCTCATTTTCAAAAGTGCTGACCTTCATCTGCTTTGAATGATGTCACTTCGATCTGATTTGTTTTTCCAAAAAAATAAAAAAAAAAAAAAAAAAAAAAAGAGAATTCCTGTTATATATTTTCCTATATAAAGGAAGCTTTATATAATCATGAATGAAACACCCTAAAATTCAGGATCTTGGAAGAAGTCTAGGTTTATAGATCTTCCCCCCCCCCCCATATATTTATTTGAACCAATGCTCAAGTTTCCATATAATAGTATATGTAATAATTTGAAACAGCAACCTTCTACAGAAAAAGGTTTTATTTTAAATGTAGATCAAAACTACCATGAAATTTGCAAAACGTTCCACTGCGTTTCTTGGACTGCAGAAGTGTCACTATGGTCTAATCTGATCATTGGTATTTTCAAATAAAAGGTTTTTGTTTCACTGAGCTTTCTAGAGAGGAGGTAAACAAGATAGATAAACTCTGCCTCAACCACCTGTCTTCAATAACCAAATTTTAAGAATACAGAGTTCTTTCAATTCAATACTTGAATAGAACATCTTATACAAAATCCCCCATGTCAGCTTCAAAATAGTTTATCCTCCCTACTGTTATGAAGAAAGAAGGCTTAGTGTTTAGGATACACTGTTGTCCGATAACCATGTCTTCTAGTAGAACTGAGTTTGTCTCTTCTCTACTTCTTTGTGATGTGTAAAAATAACCTGAAATTTTAATAGCTGCATCTTTAAAGCATGTGTGTGTGTGTGTGTGCAGGTGTATATAGCTTTGTATTTATATGGGGAACTCTGCTTTATTGTTTTCTTTGAAATATGACAAAGATCATTTCCCTACTTTTCTTGTCAGACTTCTTCCCTGAATTTGATGGGTAGACTGGAGTTCTTAATCTGAAAGTAAGGGAGAAGAATGAGAAATGTATTTCCTCTGATGTCTTTGGATACTCTCTTGATCTTTCTCTGTTGGTCTGAGCAGATCATCAGAGTTAACAGTTGAGAAAATTACGTCTTATTCTAACTTAGCTTGAGATCAGGTTACAAAAACCACAGATCATGCTCTCAGTTGTTCGTGTGGGAATTCAGGTCGCTTTTCAGTTCCAACCTGTAGCAGTGGTATCTTCAAATATCCAAATGTGTAATTGAAATCAGGAGTCCATGAGGCCTCTAATCAGGTTAGGGCTTCTGAAAATGCCACTGATGTCTATTTGCAAATTCAGGTGGCTGAATGCTATTGAAAATGTAGCTGTGAATATCTTATCCTTTACTCCAGTCAATCTATTAGTATTTGGCTCAGGGTGATCCCTTAGACCGGGATCTTTCTAGCTTTTTGCAACTGTCGTACTACTTAGAAATTTGCAGTAGTGCTGCAGCCCCCAGCACAGCACTTTAAACTTATTGATAAAATACGTATTTTTCTTAGTTACGTTTCTCAAACCCCTTTGAAGCAGTCCATGGCTCAGCTGGGCTGTGCCAGCCAGAAGTTGAAAATCTCTGCCTGTTTCTTTCATTCTGTGAGAAATTTTGTGTTCCTAGGGGGAAAAAAAATCCTTACATTTTGTTCTTTGTTTAAAACACAAAAGTTTAGGGATGTTTTCTGGGCAGCTGTGTTACTGATACCGATATGAAGGAACGGACAGATCCCTTCATCTTTGTACTGTAACATATGTGGATGTCGGTGTGATCTCTGTTCATTTTGTATTTGCTAGTGTACAATGCATAGCTTTATTGTATGTAGGGGTTTTGGAGGACAACTGGCTATCAGGTTTTCCTAGTGCAAACATCCAGTCAGAATCCCTCTGGAGCATGAAAGATAAATTGCAAGGCAGTAGGAAGATGGGCACAGCACCTCTGAGAGGTGCAAACAGTGCAACCTAGCATTTCTAGTTCAGAGTATTAAGACGTACCCCTCTCTTTTGGAGCTCGGCATCCTGAACAGGCCTTGCACGTCAGCGCTGGCAGGGAGCCTGAAGAGGGGGAACAAATCAAGGAGAAAGACCCTGCTCAAGCTGGTCTCTCCCTCAGTTGGACACTGCTCCAGGACTGTTCAGGCAGATTTCCTTCTTTTCTATGGAAATGAGGGCCTACCTCATGACCTTCGACATGGCTTGAGAGAAAATTGCAGCGGATAGGAAAATCTGCAGAAGCAGAGTCTATGGGCCATCCAACAACTTTCTTCTGATTAGACTTTGCCTGCCTTGCGTTGTTTTGCTACGTGCTCCAGTCCTCCTCCTTCCCTTCTCCTTCCTTGCAATTAATTTGTATTGAACCCTACAGATTTCACTGTGGGGCACTTTATTATTATCAGCTGGTGGATCTTTGTCCTTTCCTCATTTTGCAGACTCAAGGCGAGACGGTAGCTGGTAGAGAAATGTCGGTGATTGTGGAATTCACCAACCCGCTGAAGCAAACGCTGGAGAACGTCACACTCCGCCTTGAAGGGCCCAGCGTGCTGAGAACAATGAAAAAGTACTTCAGGTAGGAAGGAAGCAGAATTAACTGAGAAGTTGTCCCCTTCTTGCTCACTGGGGCAGCTCATGAGAGACACAACTAATGCAGCGCTGAATAATTCAGACGCTCTCTCCTTGCTTTAAAATTCAGTACACAAAGAAACTATAGGTCTCAACAGACAGAAGGAGTCAGGCTGTCCCTCTCAGTGAAAAGAGAGACTGTGAGAGCATTTTGTCCATTCAGTATCAGTGTTGGAGAAAGGGACAGTGGTTGTGAGTAGCTGCGAACACAACTGGAATTTTCTTTTTCACAGTATTACATTATTTTTGTTGCTTGGAAGTAGCACATATGATCTGCTATCGTAGAAAGAAAGGCAGATTTATCCTGCACGTGAAGTGTTTCCTGCCAAGTGCTCATTATGCACAAATCAAGTCCCATGCAGCTTTTCTAAAAGGGCCTTTCTGCATTCATGTTAATCATGACTACACAATACATTCAGATACCTCAGATGATCTTTGCAAGCTTATGTCAAGACCCAAAATCATTTGGGGCTAGATAACCTGGCGGTTTGTGTAGCTGATGCAACAAATTATGCTAGATAGCCACAGCAGTTGTGCAAGCACACAGCTCATCTCTGGTAGCACCACTTACCAGGGCTGCCTGGATACAAAGGGGCATGTAGGGAGCAAGGTGATCTCAAGCCTGAGAAAAAGGAAAGCCCTTCAGCGGCCTTCACTATTCTAGGAGTTGCACTTAATGCTGGCACAGCGGTATCTGTACGATAAGCGGGTAGCGTTCTAGACCGTCTTTCCATTCAGTGTTATATGTGGTAAGCAATAAATGGTATCTGTACGATAAGCGGGTAGTGTTCTAGACCGTCTTTCCATTTAGAGTTCAGTGTTATATGTGGTAAGCAATAAACCAGGGGTAGGACAGAAACATACCCTGCAGTCACTGCTATGACAAGAACTTGTAATAGAGATCCCCAAGGTTGCATTGCTGTGGACATGTACTGATGATACTGTTGCTGTCCCAGCACGGAGTTTGGTATTAGCCAGTTCCTAGATATATAGCTGGGATCCTCAGAAGATTTTGCAGCCATTGCTGAGCCTTGCATAGCTGAAGCGATGTTATCTGTCATTACCTGTGCTGATGGTTCCCAGGTGCGTGCAAAAGAAGTCTGAAAAATTGCCTGTGCTTCAGTAGCTGCATAAATTGTCAGCGTTATCTGCAGCTGGTAGGGGAGGTCTGAGTCTGATTGCACCTGGCCCAGGGGAAAAAAAAGATCAAAAGCAGGCTCCAGATTGGAGCTGGGGAGAAAAATGACTGTGAAAGGGCATCACACTGTGTTTGCTTTGTGCACGTGATATGTCACAGATGCTGCTGAACATGACTCAGCACCATCCACACTCGTTACCCAAGTCCCAGTAATAGCCCTCGGTGTGTTGCACAGCCATGCCAGACTCCCCTGGTGCTCTGCAGCCTTCTTGTTCCAAAAGCTGCTGTCAGCCCTTCTCACCTTCAAGGAAGCAAGAGTTGTCAAGTGCATCAAAGGCATAGGAGTTACAGAGAAACGTGACTCATGGAACAGACGTCACTTTCCTTCAAGTCGCCGTGTTTCCCCCTTTACAGTAGTGCCCTTGGCATGATTTAAAATGGAAATGGAACAGCTTAGTCATTTTAAGATTTTTGACTTAACTTCTCTGAGATAAATGAAGGCTGCAGGTTATACTCACAGAGGACAGAGTAGGGGGCAGTTGTAGTTTATTTAAATAAAAATCACATTTGCCTCCATGCATTCAGAGTGATAAATGGCTCCTGTGTGGTGATGGCTCAGCATATTATGCAGAGCCATTCATCACTGAATTCTCTCCTAGGCAAATCGGATTAGAGTGGCTTTACTCCATTTGCAAAAAGAATTGAACTTATTCTAGGCTTTCCTCCTTCTTCCACTGCTTCCCTGCCCATTGGGAACTGTCACACATGGGATGTGTCTTTTGCAATCGTTTACGGGGATGAGACTTTAGACTATATTTTTAAGGTAGCTTTTCTGTATTGGGGATGAGACTTTAGAATTATCTATATTTTTAAGGTAGCTTTTCTGTATCACGTGGGCAACTCCACAAAACAGGCATGAGTGATCAAGGAGATATAACATTATCTTGGGAATGAAGTGACTTGGAGGTTTCTGCCTTGACCGTTCACAAGGGCTCTATAGTCATGTTTAGCTGTTAGTCTGAGACCGATGAAAACTATGACTTACTGGAAAAGGCTTTGGCAGCCACAGTCCCTACCCAGAGTGTGGTCTTTGTGTGACACCTGAGAATTAATCAGGCAGTGATGGATATTGTTAAAAGGATTTTAGCCAAGCATGCACTCACACTAGGCACATAAGTCACTTTGGCTGTTTCTGCTTATCCAGGTAGTATTACTATTTGTAGCAAGAAGCAAGTTGGATTAGAAGTAAGACAGTAGAGAAACAGGAAAAGGTGGGTTTGATATCCCAGCATAGCTGCTATCTTCCTGCGTGTACATATATCCCATCTATCAATCAGCGATGAATATGCTGCTCGCTCTCTCACACTCTCTCACACTGGGGCACTGTGAGGATGCAGTCTGCAAACCTCCATCCCTAGGAAATCTGGGCCTAGATTTTTCAAAAGGTAGACTAAGTCTTGCTGCACAAGAAACTTGTATAGTATCTTCCTCGCTTTCTGTACAGATCATTCCTTGCAGATCATTCGCATAAACTCTAAATTAAAAAGGTATCTAACCTTGTGCAGCAATTGAAGTCATTGCTTTGTCATGCTACCATTTTTGTGGGCATTTGATGGTGCAGGCCAGCTGAGGGGAACAGCATATCTCTCATTAAGAGCAAAGATAAAAAGAGGGAAGGCGCTTGCTGGAAGCTGTCTGCGTACGCTCACACTAAAAATGTGAGCTTCCTCTTGTTCCTGTTCTTTTCTAAAACAGGGTACATGCCCCAGGGTACCTATGACTGTATATGCAAAACACAGTGCAGTGCCATTCAGAGGTACCTAAGCTGGACTCCAAGGAGCTAGAATGCTGCTCCTTTTAGCAGGTTAAATTAGCATGGGCAGACTTGCATTAAAACAAATACGCAGATAAGAGGAACCCAAACTAGATCATTTCCAGCTAATTACGGTTTCTCTGTCTTGTGGCAAGTTATGCTAAGCCTGGGCAGTCATTTCTGTCTTGACCCTAGTGGAGGACATGTCATCTGAGAGATAAATCCTATCAAATGAGAACTGGCAACAGTGACTAAAGTCTACAGTAACTTTGCTCTCCATTTATTCAGTTATTTACAGACTACCGTACCCGTGTGATGCTGATGAGAACACTGGCTCACTTCATAATCCTCTTACTTAATGCTGAGGAAAGAACATATTTATTTTTATAAATAGCTCCCCACTACGCTACCTCCTCCATTGGTTCCCTTCCTGACATCCCGCAGTCAATATCAGTCTTCAAAATTTGCATGCAGAAGTGAAAGCACTGAGAAAATGCAGCAACCCAGTACCTGAGGTTCTCTGTGCATCTTTCTTGTAGCAAAAACTGAAAATCAAGAGCAGTACAGAATACAGGTGGTTTATACTATGAGTTACCAAGAGTCATAGATCACGTAAAAGAGCAGCTGCTAACGATAGGACACCCAAAAATACTTTGGTTTATTTGCGTGGGCATGAAGAAGTCATCTATGAAGTGGACAGTGATATTACGTGATATTATGTTCTGATATTACAACTATGGCAGAGTGGCTTAGGGTAGAAGGTGGTGGAGAGGCTCCATTCCTCATCAGCACTACACCTGGCTGGCACTTCTCAGCGAGGACTTACTTAACTGTTTAAGGAATCACCAGCAGGCTATGGGATAATATGCTGGTAAAATGGAATTAAAAAGTGAAAAAACGTTATCCATAAAAATCATCCTGAAAGTGATTGTGAGAGGAAGTGACAGGCAGCAGAGGAAACCTGATTTGTTTTAGAAATTTAAAATTAATCTGGAGGAAAGTCTAGAAAAGGCTTTGACAGAGTCAGTTCTGCAAGTCCTGGAAGATGAAGGGAATAATTTATAGGACACTTACCAGGATAAGTGAAACATTAAAACCAAAAACAAAAAAAAAAAAAAAAGTCATGTCATACTGTCCATCTTCAGTTTCTCCAGTTCTGGGTTAGGCTGAGAACACTGGCTGACTGATTACAATATTGTTACTTTCCTTTCTCCCTGCAGGCAAATCCCAGCAAATTCTACTTTGAAGTGGGAAGCAAAATGCACCCCAAAACGACCAGGGTTACGAAAGTTGATTGCAAGCCTGAATTGTGATGCTTTGAGGCATGTGTATGGTGAGCTGAACGTCCAGATTCAGAAACCATGAACCAAGGTGCTGTCTTCATTCTTTAATTAGCTATGTTTCAAAATATGGCATTAGATGGAAAAAAGAGATACAGAGGTAGAAACTTTATTATTTTGGTTATCCTCATGCTAACTAAAATGTGACAAAGAGAACTAACTGGAAACACTGGGGAGAGGTGGAAAATGCATCTGGATCGTGAATGATTCAAAATTAGATACAAGTAATTAAAGGCAATTCCAGGTCATATTATTCCTACAGTTCACTTGTATTTATGGCCCTTTGCACTAGTGCTGGGAGGGAATCTGAAAGGCCGCATTCACCAAAGTAGTCTGAACTTTAGTTTTAATTAAGGTCTGATATTTCACTGCGGAAAAAAAAAAAAGAAAAAAGAAAAACGAAACCAGTGTTATAAATTCTTAGGGTGAATTATACAACCTTACAGTAGATCATTCAGGCTACAGTTAAAAACAGGTACTTCTAGCTAAAGGGACTGCTTTATCTTGCAGTGTTAGAATTTTCCAGTTCATGGAGAGCTCACTTTGCTGGAAGCATCTCTCAGGATTTGTTATCTTCAGAATATTCCCAGCTCTCTGTTCCCACTTGCCACTTCAATACGCTTTTTCTCTTGCTCTTTCATGTGTGTCTGCACCCACACATACTCCTTTATTTCATGCCCTCATCCCACCCTGTATGATGCTATTAATAATGCTGTTCTTTTCTTTTGCTTGATGAAGATCTAGAGTTTTTCATGCCCCTGCTCAGAGTTCATGGTACCAAACTTTCATTTTTCTGGTCAGTTTGCTGTGGACTGGAGGTTAGTGGGGCAGGCCATGATACTCCTCCTCCTAGCTCCACAGTCCTAACAAATATCCTGCACTGGTGCTGCCGTTTAGGAGATAAATTTAGATTTAGCCACCTCAGAAAGTGCCCCTGAAATCATGGCTACAGCAAAATCAGATTGTAGTATGTGTGAACAACCCCCAGGAGGACAGAAGCTCAGCTGAATAAGGAAAAAAACATGTACCAGGAGAATCAGAAACTCCACAAGCTGGATCTACTTCCTGTCTCGCTTGCAGCATATTCATCTGTAAGGTGCAAAGGGGCCACCCAAGGCCTTGCTTTTTTCCAGAGACCCCTCCAGCCCTCTGGAGCTGCTCTGGATGTCTGATTTTTATTAGTCTTCCATGCAGGGTGCTCCTCCATTCCAAGGCACCCACCCAATTCTGTGGGGCATTTTTCATCTCCTGAAATTCTTTCCAGGATCTTTTTCTATATGAGGCAAAAAAGATGCACATAGTACATTCACATGTCCAGCTGCAGTGACCACCTACCAGCTATGGTGTGTAAGAACATATCCCATAGTAACAAACAGCACAGGTGAGCTAACTCAGCTTCCAAAGGAGCTAAAAGGAATCTCATGCTCATTAAATGCTGTGACTTTATTGTGCAGCATATGGCCAAGTCATTCTGTGGTCTTATTAGTGAGAGAGCAAGGGTGATGACTTGTCTTCTGCTCCCCTTCTTGCCACGTGCTGCATCCTGAATAACCTGTGGCCAGTTCTTAAGTAAGCCAAGAGAGGAGAGAAAGGCAGGCTGGTCTTTTGCTAGAGTATGTGGAATAAAGTAGAGATTTGCACCACCTCACAATCTGGATGAGTAATCTTGGAGACAGGAATACCAGACAGTTTTGGGGGGGGCTTTCACTTCAGGCGTGGGCACACACTTGTTTTGTACAGTTAATGTGACCCATTAGAAACTCTGCAATAACAGTCTCGCAAAGAAGTCCTCTGGGACACACGGTGACAACCTCTGTTAAGTGCTTGTGCAGTTCTGCTAAAGTCTACATCATTTAATAAGATTATCTGTATTTTGCTCTTGCACATAAACTTGCTTTCCATTCTAGATTTTTAGTAGCTACAGTGTAATAGGAATTTAAAATAAAGCATATCTGGTGGCGCTTGTATCTTGTGGTCTATATTTTGGTCAATCACTTGTTCTGTGTGGTAGCACTATAGACACCAGTTGCTGCATGCCTTAATTGTAAGAGTAAGTTTAAAAGTTTGTTTCTGAGCCGTGCTGATAAAGATGACTTTTTCGTGCTAGGGAGAAAACCGAATCTTTATTTAAAAAATATTTCTGTTTTCAGTTTAACTATTCTAGCTTTTATTTTTCCTTCTGTTTTAACAATTGACTACCTAATGCATTGGAGAAGGTGACAATTTCCAGAGCACGTCGCAGTGCTAGAGAAGAAAATCCACAGATTCCCCTGGGAATTGCTTTAACATGTCAGAGCCTATTAAGTGGCCAATACGCTCCTCACGAGACCTTACCTGCAACCCACTTCTAAAGTGTGCTCCTCTCAGCTAAGTATTTCAAAGCATTTTACAAACAGTTGTTAAGCTGAACAATGTTCCCTGGGAGACGGAAAGTATTTTTATAGATAGTTTACAGAGGGGTAGATTGAAGCGAAGGAAAGTTTGGCGATGACTGTGAAGGAGGCCTGGAAACACAAGCTGGGGATATCAACAGTTCTTAGCATCACCTTCCAGCTTACTCCACGCAGAGAGCTGCTTGCAGAAACCTAAGGGAAAAAAGAAGGATGGTCCCTAGGATTTCAGCCACTCATTACCCTTTGCAAGGGCTGCTACGTGAATCACGAGTAAACCCTGACTGAGGATGCTTTGCGTGTTCTGATAGGACTGTGTCTGTGTGTAGGAAATTCAGTCAATAAGGCCAGACTGGGAACCCTGGATCTGGAGGATCTTTGAAGCTGAAGAGAGTCAGGCTGAAGTTTATACTCTTCAGCTGAGGATCCCTTTTCAGTGGGATGAATTTATGTCCTTATCGGAAACATTGTCCCTCAGACACATCTTGGGATGGGGGAGAAAAAAGTCCCAAATCAAATCCCTGCCTCCCCAGATCCACACTCCAGCAGCTCAGAGAAGCCAAGTACAAACAGAAGTCTGTGCGTTCCTAAAGGCATGTGTCGTGTGCTGCCAGTTTGCTACATCCAGGATATGGAGTAGGTTACTTGAATTCCCACCAATTTGTCACACCCAAAATCTTGTTACTGGCAAATAGACGCATCTTATATGCAAAGCTAAGATGAATTTATTGTTAGTCTTATTAAAATCTTATAGTCTAATGAAAGAGTTATTATTAGCACTGATAATTAGATGATAGAATTATATTGTTGTTTTATTATTACAATGATAGTACTAAACATAAACTTTCTAGCATCATCCCCCTTTCTCTGCTCTTATATTTACCTGTAAAGTGCCCCTCTGGGTCCTAAGGTTGAGAGCTTCAGTCTTGGGTTGGGGCGGGTGTAACAGTTAAGTCATCAGTGTCCCAGGTCCTTCACCAAGATAGGTATGATGTTAACGTGGAGGGTTTCTCTTCCTCTTTGCTGGGATGAGTAAAACAATGAGTTTCTTCCTTCACACCCTAGGATCCACGTGAGGTCATTTTTATATGCTAGCTAACATACTCTACATCTTGCTCTTTCCTTATTGGTTCAAAGTTCCACAGTACATCCATATTTACTATTTACAATGTGTTTTACCCATGTTAAATACTTGTTCTTTGTTATCCCTAACACTCATCTTACCCAGCTGCCAAGGTTGCACTTCTTTGATGACCAGCAATTGACCACTAGTGAGTTGCTTATACCCTGAGGCCTCTGGTAAATGCTGCACCTGTACTTTCAAGGCCCCTGCTGTCATCCCCTGCCAGTACTCCTTTATGCTGCGTTTTATTCTGTCATAGGCAGTTCATTCTACACAGAATAACTACTTTCTATTACGGTCTATTAATTACAGAAAAATCGTGTAACAACAAACATCTCACCACACAATTGTATAAAACAAAGCAAAAGCTAGAGCAAAGTATGTAATAACCACCAGGTCATTAGATAACTGTTCTTACAGCTAACAACAAAGAGGGAAAATATGGCCTAAATGATGCAAAAGGAAGATCTTCATAGCAAAAACAGATAAAGCTGTAAGAGAGAAAGGCCAGAAGGTTGCATCCCCTAAGGCAGGCAATCCACAGGAGACTGGCAGTGGTAGCAAACCTGCCTGGTGGTCAGTGGAGCTGGCTAGCCGCACTGGAATGCAACCCCTCCACAGGTATAGCTGGAAGCCTACACTGAGTTTCATGGCTATGCTCACCCTCTACAAAGGTTGCCGATCATATGGGGAAGGGACGGTCAGCAGGTGGCTTGGGGACTATAATGCACTCAATAGGCCAACCCAACTGTGGCTGCGCGTGTGGCTGCACGTGCACTGCGAGATGATCCAGAAAAGGCTGGGCAGTTTCTTTAAGCCACCTGCAGCCTGCCCAAATGTGATTGTTTTCATCTGGCCTCCACAGTACTAGGGTGGTAATAAAAGTGACCCTTGAGCATGAGAGGTAGGAAACAGCCTGGTCTACAGAAAACTGCAGCAGCAATGAGAGGCACTGCAGATGCAGGTCTTTTGCTTACGCTGTGGTGGCCTACTTATTGGGCACAAATGTGAGAAAGGTGGGAAGAAGACCTTCGCTCAGCATAAAAACATAATGATTCAGACCAGAGGTTCAGCTAGCTCAGTGACTTGTCTCAACAATGATGATATGTGGATGCTTAGGAAAGATAGTGGGACACAGAAAGGGTGTGTGATACTTCCCTCTGATACCTCCCCAGGCTCCTGCCCAGAGACTATCTGATCCAGATATGGTATCTGTGTACTCTGTGTCTTTGGTTTTCGCTTTTGTGAGATTTGACGGCTTTGTTAGCTCTTAGCATCCACCACATGCTTTGGCAAGGAGTTCCCCTGGTGCACAGCGAACAGGTACAAAGAACCACCTCTTATTTGCTTTGAACTTGGCTTTTCTGCTAATTTCTTTCAGCATCTAGCCCTGGTACTGGAAGAGTCAGAGACCACTCCTTCCCTTTTCAACATGCTGTGTATAATTTTGTAGATCTCTGTATTGTATTCCCCCTAAATCACCTCTTTTTCAGATTGAAAACTTCTAGCTCAGTCATTTTGGCATGAGAACTGCTCCATGCCTGTGGTCATCCTTGCTGTTCTTCTCTAAACTTTTCTAAGTATTGATGTCATTTTAAGTACCATTTAAAAACAATACAGCTGGCTTAAACATCTATACTTTGAAAGGACAGAGCTAATTAGTGAATGGCCTATCTGCACAGGGAGAAAATGGATCTGCTGGGATCCAGTTACATTAGGTTAAACCTGGACTCAGCCCATGGCTGAAATAAACAGATTCCAAACTTGCCCTGATTACAAGCTCCGTATAGTCTCAAGGTTGAGCACACTTTTATTCCTCTTCATGTGTTATTTGAAGAAATCCCCCATTGTCTCATACAACCACCAGTGTGAGTACCCTTGAGAAAACCGTGAGTCAGCTTTCTAGAACAATTTGTTGATAAGGAGTAGGGCATTAACATTTGAAAACCAACTGATTTCTCATCACTATGTAGATTTATAGTGCTTTGAGACACTGTTAAAAATATTACCTGCATTCTGTCCTTCTTCAAAGTGAATATATTTCAGTATTGCAACAGCTATGTGGTGTCCTTCAGGTTGTCTTACCTGCTTACAAAATTCCTCTGTTTGGAAACAGACTGTAGATAATAATAAAACATTGCAAGAACTTCAGACAGCTGTAAAGTCAAGCCCTCATAAAGTGAAGGGTAAATCTAGTAAGCTGTAGCTCAATTTGAGTACACTTAGGCCATATTTGCATTAGTGAGGTGCAACAGAAGCAGATCAGTAGAGTGAAACAGCAGGAGCTGAGTACCCACTAGCTATACTATATTTCAGAGCGTTCATATTGAACTAGCTCCAGTCTGGTCTGAATGGCCTTTAGCACTTGGAGAGCCTTTGGTGTACTGGTCAAGCATCAATTAGAGATGAAACTGAGCTGAAAAAGTGCATGTTCCAAGACTGTGCTGCGAAGTAAAGCGCTATAAGCAGTAGTTTTGAAAACACAGTCCTGGTCTGAACTGAGCCACTGCTGTAGTTGCACCCTGAGCTCTGTAAGCCTACAGGGAGCAGCCAGAAGGTGTGAAGGGTGGTCAGGTGCTCAGGATCCATGATAGCTGCATGGCAAAGATATGCCCAGATGTCAGACTGAGGAAGTATTAGCTATTTCTCTATGTGGAGGTAGGTGTATCTGTATAAAAGTACTCACACCACTACTGCTCACTCCGATTGGTGGCGCAAATAAACTGTATTGCTGTAAGCAACAATCAAAATGCACCTTCAGCGGTAATGGTATCAATTTTACCACTATAAGAAAAGGGAAAAAAAGCTCCAGTCTGCCACAAGTCCTCTTGGTTCTGACCTAGTCTGACCACTGAAGGCATTGCTACACTAGTCTAGCTGTGTCCATGGTAGTAATTTGTACCAAGATCCATGTTTTGGGAACTCACATCCTTCTAACCAAATACAGTATACATTAACAGTGATGTAAATCAGCCCCGAATCTCTTCTGCAGTTGTAAAAATCTACCCCACTGTTGGCTTAAAATACTGGTAAGTTTGCTGTGTTTGTTGTCCCCTATAAAGCAAATAACTTGAGCTAATTTAGGGACTGTTATAAAGGTGGTGTTACAAAGCCTCTGCTGCCTAAACAGTTTAGTTTATACCAAGACATTTTCATATACTGAGATAAGCTTTGCACAGAGCCATTATAAGCCCCAGTGCAACATGCTAGTGAATTATTTTCTGCCTTTCAACTGATCTAAGTAAGGTAGCCGCAGTTTTTGCATTATAAAACAATACTTTGTGCTCCAATCAGCTAGGTCTGGAAGAACTTTCAACTAATAAGCCCTACTCCCAAAGCACTCATGACCTCATCAGCATTACTGATGCACAAGAAAAAAAAATGCCTTTGTGTTCAAAGACACTTAGCATGGGGAAAGTGTCATCATCAAACTGTAAATTGTCTTACTTCCAACTGTGGTT